GAACTCGAGATGTTCTAGTTTTAAACGATATCATTTTGTTGAGTGTATAGAAATGAAAAAACTAGAGATATTCTCTATATAGCAATGCATGTAGCAATATTATGTGTTGAACGGACTAGAAATTGCTAACCAAATTATTGGAGACAGAATTTTAAGCGGCAGCAGTTAGGCTAAATATAAAATATTATGATTTGAATTTCATAATTGACCTGAGTTATATGCATATATAGTTAACGTTAAGATATCTAGTTTTGGTGTTGGATTTGACTCGAAACTGCTTGCCAACTTGGTGGAAATATACTTTTGAACGGTAGCTTAGACTGAATATAGGCTAAAGAATTCAAAAGCAATCAAATCAAGCAAATTACAATATATAATTATATAAACTAATAAATATACGCATGCTAAAATGTACTCATCACATTAGATTTATATAAAAGCATTATAGTTTATAATGATACATTACACGGGCTATTTAAATAATAATAAATAAATATTTTAATTATTAAAGAAAAAATATTATTTGATACATCTTCATTAAAAAAATAATTTTGTAAATGATATAAAAATTATAACATATATTACATTTTTTTTATTTTTTCTTCAAAATTAAATATATTTACCATAATATTAATATTATCTATGAAAATATTATTTTTGTTACGATATTTGAAATGATAACATTTTAATAAATACAAGAAAAAACTTGTTGCAATGGTAAAGTGCACCATATTGGTTGACTGATCTAGTCCTGTTTGCGTGCCACAATTTAATTATATTATCACGATTTGGGAATAATTATCATGATAAGTGATATTAAAAAGTCTAAACGGATTATTAAATTTAAAAAATTATAAATAAGTCACACAATAATAGATTATTACAAACAAATTACTCCATCATTCGGTATATAACGAATATAAAATTTAGTTGTAATTGAGTGATATGATTATTATAATTGATAAATTAAGTGATTTGATTGTGACAATTGATAAATAGAACGATCTGATTGTTATAATTGATAAAAAATTATCTAATTATAATTTAAAAAATTAATATATATTTCATTTTAATAGTAAGATGATACGTTTGTAACAATCATTTAAATGAGTGGTTTATTTGTACTTTTCAAACTTTATAACCAATTTATAATCATACTAATAATTGAGTGACATTTAGTGTAATTTATCCTAATGAATAAATTAATGATATGATAAAATTCTCTTACAAACTAAGGGGCGATGGCAGTGGTATTGATTAGGGTATGCATTTTTAGATGTCAAATATTATTCAATTTAAAATTTTGAATATTAAAAAATTTGGATCATTAAAATTATGATTCGTATTCGATTTAAAAAATTGAATATTCAAAATTTAGGATATCTGAATATCTGGTTCTGAATATAAATTTAAAATTTTATAAAAGAAATTAGATTCAAAAGTATTATTTTATGACTTTATACAATATATTTTACACGTCTATTATATATTTCAAGATAAATTTATAATACGTTATTTTAAGACTTGAAAAATAAATAATTGAAAATTTGAAAAAAAATCAATAATTAATACAAAATAATATAAAAATATAAAACTCATTTCAATGATTTTGAAATCTGAATGAATTGTAAGCAGAGTCATTATTCAATTTGCAAACAAGATTTAAGGCGCTTGGATTTCAAGTTGGGGCGCTGGCCGTGGAAGATTTCAGGCTAGGGGCAGATTGGCTGGCTGAGTGGATAGAATCTTTTTAAGGCCCATTTCCATCTGATTTTTGAATAATTCGAATTTAAGTTTTAAATCAATTCGTATCTAAACTTATTATCTGATTTTTTTTTTTTTTTGATATCTAATTCAAATTATCCGAAAGCTATAAAACATATTGGATATTCAAATTTTTAAATCGGTTTTTTTACACCCCAGTCTTGGCCCTCTTAAATGGAAAATTTGTGATTCAAGCCCCTTTAAAATTACAATTTTGTACTTAAGGTGACAATGAAATTGTGTTTTTATCCCCAAGTAATATAAAACTTCAATTTAACCCCTCAAAAACTATAAAATCATAAACTAGTGCCATTATAAAAATATATTTTGACTTTCCAAGAATTTGTAAATAAGTTTCAACCCCTTCAAAAAATTGTCTTTGCAACTCTAATAAGAATAATATATCTTAATTACATGAACTTAGAATAATCAAATTGAAGAACAAGAATTAAATATACAATTCAATAATAACACAATAACTAATAATAATATGACCTAATAAATTTAATAACCCTAATTTATGTCAATATTATAAATTAAAAATTTTAAAAGTAAAAAAAAAAATACCCATAGACTAATAAAAGTGTTGCGATCCAAAGAGTAAATACACGACTTGAGAATAGATTGTAAAAGCGAGGCAATGTAGTGGTGACAGCACAATAATAGTGGATTAAAAGAGCCTTTGAACTCAAAACACATGTTGCATTACGATCTCAATATCTTAGTAGAGATTGAAGGGACGAAACTAGGGTGGTTATCGAGTAAGTCGATCACAAGTTGGGCAGTGCTCGACTCGTGCTCGTTAAAATTTTACTCGACTCGTGCTCGTTAAAAAAACTTGTTGCTCAACTCATTTGTTAAACTCTTTGCTCTTTAAGCCCATTGCTCAGCTCGTTGCTCGATAAACTCACTGGAATTTTTATTTTATTTTTTATTATAGGTAAAATCTACTAATACTATAAATTAATAGATTAGTCATTTATCATGTTTTTATTATCTATTAGTAAATTAATAGTTTTTGAATGAATTAATTTTTTAAAATAATTTTTAAAAAATTATAAAAAATTAATAAGTTGCTCGCGAGCTTATCGAGTCGAGTTGGACTTTGCTCGACTCTGCTCGTTAAGGTCTCGAGCCGAGTTTGAGCTTCTGTCGAATCAATCTGAGTAGAGCTTTTACCGAGTCAAATTCGAGCTACTCACAACTATTCAACTCATTAAACACCCTTAAACGAAACTACCATATACCATGTGTTTTGCATTTTGCTAGCCACCGAGGATCGCCCATTCAATCAGGCTTGCAAGTCCCACCTAACAACGGAATTAAGCTTCCTCATTTTATTCTAAGCCCAACTGTGACACATGAGTAGTTAATAAAAAATAAAAAGATTGGTTTGGTTTTAGAAAATTTAGATTATTTTTATTTTATTTTTTAGAAAATATAAAACGTTAGAAAAATATGTTTGGTTGTAAAATTAGAAAATGATTTCTATAAAATTAAAAAAAATAAGTGAAAATATGAAAACATAAAAAAAATGTTTTCATTTTTTTTGTTAAAATTGTTTTAGAACTTTGAAATATAAGGAAACATAAGATCTAGATTTTTTACTTTAACTTATACGAGTTCAAATTATTCTAACAATAATTTTTTTGATTTAATGGTATCTGAAACTCTCAAACTTTTATAAAAAAATTAATAGGTACCTGAACTTTTTTTTCACTCAATATAGTCCTTAAATTTAAATTTTTTTATAATTTAATTTTGTAGTGTTTTTTATATTTAATGTATTGAATATCTTAATAATTATTTATATTTTATATTTTTAATTTAAATATTTTTTTTAAAAATAATTAAGTCCTTAAACTTTCTAAAAAAATCAATTGCGCCATCAAACTTAGCTAAAAAATCAATTTAGTCCATCTACCATATCATCGTCTATCGTGTACTGCCACAACAATACCGTAAATTGTCACATCTTTATTTTAGATTGTCACATAAGTTTATAAACTGTCATGTAAGCATCGTGACAATCAACATTTGATTTCGTTTTTCAAAGGGTTAGATTAATTTTTTAAAATGTAAAAAACATTTTGGGGCTACATTAATTATTTTTCCCAAAAGTTCGAGGCCTCAATTACCATTAAACATAATTTTTATTTTAATGATACTTTTGTGTGCTCTTGCGTATGAAAATATTTGTGTACTTTTAAAATTTAATTGACATACAAAATACAATAACATTATATTCTTATTATAAACTAAAATTTATTTTGTGTTATGATATTTCTTATCAATTTTATTGTTTTATATTTGCATAACTCACATGTTAAATTAATGTAATGAATTTTTTTTAATAATTATGGTTTAATTTATTTTTTAATAACAATGTATTCATATATATTTTTAGAAATTATATACCAAATATATTTTTACTATTTTATCATTGGATTTAAGTTTTCATTTATATTAATTAAACATATTTTCTAATTTAAAAAAAATTGAAAATGAAAACTATTTTCTGAAAAAAAAATAAAAGTAGAAAAATACTTTTTAGAACCAAATGGACCCAAAATTTCTTATTTTAAACCATACCGCATACTTTTAACTTCCAAATTTCATCTGTCAAGTATTATTTATATTAATATGTGAATTGTTTGTATTTAACAAATGGAGCATTAACTACTAACAAGTATTTTAGTTAATTAAATTTTAGCTTGATTGGCATCGATATTATTGTTATATCTAAGAGATCATGAATTTAAATTTATAATATCTTATAATTTAAAGGTTTTGAAGATATAAGTAGTTTACATGTATAATAAAATTAAGGTTTAAATATGTAGAAGACATGTACTATTTTAAAATTTAAAATTAGCTGATAAAAATGATATAAGTAACATCAATACTGATTAAAATAACAAATTAGTTTATATAACCCTAACCAATATATTACTATCTTTTGGTTTAATTTAATATAAAGGTAAAAATTAATTTATTTGTATAAAAAATAAAAAATGTTATTTGACCAAAATTAATTGCTGCCCAAGAATTAATCCTGTTATTGTTTGGTCTTCATGGCTGCCTAATAGAATATTGTTGTTCTCATACTATGGATCTTGAATAGAAATATACATAAATGAAAGAAAACTAAGTCGATAAGAGAATACATGTACAAGTTATTATCAGATTTGAAGGCCGCTTCAATGCATCCTAACCAAGAAATTTATTGTGGAGAAAAATAGCAGTCTAACATGCATAAATTTTTTAACAAATATGCTTACAACAAGCATAAATAATTCGTTTCCCTCCTTTCTCCAATGTTCATCGACGGTTTTGTGGTACCAAAAAAGTAAACCCTTTTCGTATTCTGTTACCGTTGACACAGGATTGCAGAGCAAAGCTTCCCTGGTTCCCGAGCCACTAACTGACCTTGACGCATCACCAAGGATTTGTAGATCTCAACGATCATTTTCTCGTCATACTCTTTCATCGGACGCTTCCCCAAGGCAGCGATCCCTTGATTCGCTACGCCTCCTCCGCACCCTCTGCTAACCATCCTGGAGTTAGCCAACCCCATCATCATTTTCACGTACGCATCGCGTAGCCAAACGAATAACCTCTTGGGCGACTTTATTCTCAGCTTTGCCTTCATCTTAATCCTCCAGAACCTCTTCCGCCGTGAGGTGCCGAGCTCCACCCTGCTTCGCCGTGCTCCACTTGAACCATTCAGCTTCACGTAGCTTCTTCTCTTCCAGTACCCTTTCAAGCCCTTGTACATGGTCGCCGAAATACCTTCCATCGCTGTTTCACTCTAGTTTTGATTTGCTATTGTTTCTCCAGCTACTTGTCTTCTTTCCTGAGAAAAAGGCGGAGGTGGGTGGGAGATTGAAGAGAGTGATAAATTTGGTATAAGCTTCATAACATATATATATTACATATAAAGTCAAAGATATATTATATACAGTAAACTACGAATTGAAATTAGTTACAGTACCAATATTTTGGAAAGAAGACGCTAATAATAGGTGTATTAAAAGCTACGTAGCAAACTAGCAATATTTATATTTATCGAGACTTTATTATATCCAAATAATAGAAAATTTGATGCCAATTACCTAAAATTGTTGATTCAAGTTTTATAAATAGACGTCAACAATTCTTAAGAGTATATAGTTAAAAAAATTAATTGATATTTTTTTGATCTTAGATTATGAGTTTAATATTTATTAGAAACAAAATTCTAAAAAAATATATTTTTATATTCAGAGAGGAGAAATATTAAATATGCATGCGTAGATATAGATATGTAGATGTATGATGGAGAGCCATAAATATGTATCCGCATTTTCTCACGGGTGTCGTTCTCCATATTCAATGTGTGTGGACATTCCACGTTTCCACCACCACACATAAACTCATCCTCTCGTTTTCAACGAAACTAAAAAAAATCAGCATTTAATTCAATTATGAAATAATTCCAATACACATATAAATTTAATGTTAAATGAGCATATGCATAACCATCATTTAGTATTAATCATCTGTCAATTTGATTTGTTTTATCGATTTTATCATTATATATCATATTTATAAAGAATTTAATGCACAAATTAAATGATATCAATAATTAAGATATTTGTTATTATCTCTTAAGATTTTGGGTTTGAACACTACATATGCAAATGTATGCGAGATTTATTTTCAAAGAATTGAGAGTTTTTAAATAGATATTACATTATGTTTATCCATATATATATATATAAAGAATTTGAAATAACTACTGCTTGTCCTCAGGTAGCTGTTCATGGGGATTTCCCATCTCTTCAAGACTCTTTGAAGAAGAAACCAAAGGGTAGGAAAAAAGATGTTGTTGGTTCCTCTAGTAAATTGGAGACTGTGGCTGATGGTCTGAGGAAAGCTTGTGTGGCTTCCATGGGTGTGGCTATGCTTCTCAACGAAATGAAATCTAAAAAGAGGGATCATCTCGATAAAGCTAGAGGTAATGTCGTTGGTTTGAGCACAGGCAGTAGTGTTGCCCCTCTCCCCTCTTTATGATGCTTGTCTCCTTCTGGAATGTTAGGGGATCAACAATCCCGTTAAACAGTTGAAGGTTTTTAGGAGACTTATCTCTTGTGGTGCTGATGTCATATGTCTGATGGAAACTCGAATTAAAAGTGATAATTCTGACAGATTCATTGTTGCCTTGTCTGATGACTGGAATTTTGCTGTGAATTATGAGTTTGTTGAAGGTGGAAGAATTTGGATCTTTTGGAGGAATCATCTGATGTTTTCTATTTTCAGAAGTTGTGATCAAGCTATTACTATTATTGGGGCTGCTGATGGTCATAGCATTGCTATTACTGCTATTTATGGCAGTAACAATGGTGTTGTTAGAAGGGGTTTATGGGAGCATTTAAGTACTGTTGGGAAGGATATTGGTCCCTCCTCTTGGTTGGTTGGTGGGGATTTCAATATCATTGCCAAGGTTGAGGAGAGCTCTGATTTTGACATCATGGGTATTCATTGCACATCTGATATGAAGGACTTCCAGGATTGTTTGGAGGGGCTTGATCTCATGGATCATCCTTTTTTTTTGGTCCCTTATTCACCTGGTCAAATAAACAAGAAGGCTCTTACCTAGCCAGAAAGCTTGATAGAATCTTGGTAAATGACCAATGGCTTCTGGATTTTCCAGATTCTTTTGTGGAATTCAAAGCACAAGGGGTCTCTGATCACTGCCTTGGATTGATATGGTCTCATAAGCTTGCTATGACTAGGAAACCCAAGTCTTTTAAGTTCTTCAACTGCTGGACTAATCATGAACACTTCTTGGTACTGTTAGGGATTCATGGTAGCAGCAGTGTGGAGGTTCTGCAATGAACTGCCTGTTCAATAAGCTTAAGAGGCTTAAGACTTTGCTTAGGGGATTTAATAAGCAGTTTTTCTCTGACATTTCTGGTAGAGTAAGACTTAAAAGGGCTGAACTGAAGTATATTCAGATTTTTAACCTCGCTCATTCAAGTCATAGGAGGATTGATGATGAGAAAATGATTCATGCTGAGCTTGTTAACCTGGAAGTTGCAGAATCTGATTTTTATAGGCAGCAGGCTAAGGTGTCCTGGCTTAGAGAGGGTGAATTGAATACCAAGTTCTTCTATCAGAGGGTTCAAGCTAATACAAAGAAGAACACTATAAGGGTCATTAGATGTGAGGATGGACAGATCCATGAATCTTTTGAAGGAATTTAAGCTAAACTAGTAGGATTTTTTACTAGTCTCATTGGTACCCCTGATCCTTTTGTTAGAGGTTGTTCTGTTGAAACTTTGAGGGATTTGCTTAATTACACCCTCCCTGATGGTGCTATCTCCTCTCTCACTAAGGAGGTAAGTGATAAGGAGATCAAAGATGCCTTTTTTAGGCAAGGGAAGGACAAGAGCCCTGGTTCTGATGGCTTCACTGCTGGTTTTTTCAAGGCTGCCTGGGACATTATTGGCAGTGATTTCACTTTAGCTGTGAGGTATTTCTTTCACTCCTCTTGTTTACTGCTTGCCTTTAATGCCACTGCCTTGGTCTTGATCCCTAAGTCCCTTAATGTTTGCTCTGCCAAGGATTTTAGACGTATTTCATGTTGTTCAGTAGTCTACAAAACTATCACTAGAGTACTGGTTGATAGGCTTACTCCTTACTTCCCTGATATGATTTCCCATAATCAGTATGCTTTTGTTAAGGGGAGGAATATTGTTGATAACACTCTTTTAGCCCAGGAGATTGTGAAATGTTACTCTAGGAAGAGCCTTTCTCCTAGATGTGCAGTCAAAATTGATTTACAGAAGGCCTTTGATTCAGTTAATTGGGACTTTTTGTTTTTTGTGCTTGGGGCTATGGGGATTCTTGATATTTTTTGTAATTGGGTTAAGGCCTGTGTCACTACTCCCATGTTTTCTGTTTGTCTGAATGGTAGTTTGGTGGGGCATTTTAGGGGGGCTAGGGGGATCAGGCAGGGGGATCCCTTTTCCCTTTACCTATTTGTCATTGTGATGAATGTGTTATCTTCTTTGCTGAATGTTGCTGCCATGCAAGGGATATTCATATATCACCCTAAATGTAAAAGAATCCCCCTCACTTATCTTAGTTTTGCAGATGACTTATTGGTTTTTTGTCATGTGTCTCTTGACTCTATGATGGGTGTGTTAAGTACTTTTAGCTCTTCTATAATATGTCAGGACTCAAGCTGAATGCTATAAAAATTGAGTTTTTTGCATGTGGCTTGAATGATAATGCTCTGGATTTGATTCAGTCGGCTACTGGGTTTAGGCTGGCTCATCTCCTTGTCAGGTATCTTGGGGTACCCCTTGTTACTCGTAAGCTAACAGGGAGAGACTGTTCTGCCCTGTTAGAGAGGGTTAAAGGTAAATTGAGACAATGGTCTAGCAAGAATTTAAGTTTTGGGGGTAGACTGCAACTGGTTAAAACTGTTTTATTTAGCATTTTTAACTATTGGAGCAGACAACTCATCCTCCCTAAGGGTATCATCAATGACATTGAGAGACTTTGCATGAGATTTTTTTGGAAAGGCTGTGAAGCCCCTGCTAGAGGTGCTCGTGTAGGCTGGAATCAGGTTTGTTCTTTGAAATCCGAGGGTGGCCTTGGTCTTAGGGACCTTGCCCTGTGGAGTAAAACCTGCTGCCTGCTGCTCATTAGAAACATTTTGGCTAACGAAGGTTCTATTTGGTTTGCCTGGATTCAGGAATACTGTTTTAAAACAGTGAGCTTCTGGGAGTTTGAAATTCGAGTCAACTTTAGTTGGATTTTAAAGAAGCTTTTGAAGCTTAAAGAGGTAGCTAGGAGTATGTTTTTGCCTTCTGCCGACTTGAGCTTAGTTAGAGGCAAGTGGATTTGGGAAAGGGTCCGAATTTGTAGGGAGAAGGTCAGATGGCACAGAATTATTTGGTTCCCTACCCATATTCCTAAATTTTCTCTCATTTCTTGGATGACAATCCTTGATAGACTGCCTACCAAGGATAGGCTGGTTCGGTTTGGTTTGACTTTGGAAGCTGGTTGTGTTGTGTGTGGGATTGGTTTGGAGTCCCGGGACCATTTGTTTCCAGACTGTTCTTTTGCTAGGGATGTATGGAATGCTATTTTTATTTCTTGTGGACTGCGATCTGACTTGTTTAGCTGGGATGATCGCCTCAACTGGCTGATTGATAACTTGAGGGGCAATTCCCTTCGTGTATAGATCCTCAAACTTGCTTGGACTGGCTACCTGTATTATATTTGGGAGGAACGCAACTACAGAAGTTTCAGAGGTTTTTCTCGTTCTGTTGATAGTATTGTAAATAGAATTAGGGAGTCTGTTAAAACCAAATTGTATAGTCATTGCATACATAGGATCGATGATGTTAATAGGCGTATGTGCATAAGTTGGGGGTTGTTTAGTGCTGATACTTGCCTTATTTTGTTGCAGCTGAGCTGCATTCTTTTTTGAATGAAATATAATTTACTTATAAAAAAAGAATTTAATATAATTTTGTTATGAAATAATTTCATATCATTTAGGCTTTAAGTAAAGTAAAAAAAGATTTTAAAGTGTGAACAATTTAAAAGTAAGGAAACATGAATCATGAGCCTGTACCGTGGCGTCAGTTTAATGACTAAATAGGAATGATCTAACAAGGTTGGCTTCACCAATTATATATTTGTTATCCTGTAAAAGTCTCCGAATCCGTTATCTTTTTAATAATACCAATTTTGAAATTTAATTTATTAATGATTTAATTTTATTTTTAATTTTCTTTTAATTATAATTTATATATTTATAGTTTTATACGTGTATGAAAAATATAGAGAAATTGGGTAGGCCTCAACTCAAGTGGCTTTTCACGAATAATGGAGAAAAGGGATGTGAATCACATGATGTAGTGTCGATAAAGTCATAAACACTTTTGACTTTTTACTAACCGACTTTGCATTTCTCAGTGTTTTGTGGATAAGGAATGACTCTAAGTCTTTGTCTCCCCTCTTCTCTGTCACCCATAATAAATAAGAGAGTGGGAAGGCAACTTTATTTTCAGGGTACTAGAATATTTTCCCCTTTATTTCAAGTCATATTAGATTATGTTTCTTTAAGGAAATTGTGGTTACCATATATAATATTTATTTTCTTTAATCTTTTGTTCCATTAGTTAAACCCAAATGTGAATTATCAGAATCAATTTGTTTTAAGATTTATACAAAAGTAGAGTTATATATATGATATAAAAGGTTTATTTTTATTGATCACAAGTTTATAATATAGTTTGGTCCTATACTCCTACTAATCATATTTGCTGCACATAGTGTGCAAAAAGTCTATTCGGTTAATTATTAAACGTCTTTTCTAAGTAAATATCTTTAGATAATGTAATTAAGAAAATGTTTCATACAAGACGTAGGAAAAGGATTTTTTTTGATTGGGTAAAATAATCAATGCAATGAGAAAATGATCAGATCATTTTTTTTACGTAAAAGTTTAGGTTATGGGTGATTTTCTTAATTCAGGGTCAAGAGATACTTAAGATTTAATTGAAATTTACATAGGATTTTATAAATTGTCCACTAAAAATGACAGTTGTCAGATTTGAACTCGGCCTTACAAGCTCAAATTTCTGAATCTCAACTACTTATGTCAATACTAGTTAGTAGATCATTTGATCTTTTTAGGAAGATAAAATATTTTTTAAATTAATATTTAGTTTAATAATTTTTTTCAGTCATAAAGTGATACATGACACTGTGATTAGAAAACGAATTATTGAGGAAAAACCTTGTTTAGTGAGATTTGAACCCAAATCTCATGGGTAACTAACGCGTGAGGGCGAATCCCATTTGTATGATATGGGATACATACTATATATAAGCTATATCTAAAATTTACTACAACTGTAACAAAATAAATCATTAACAAATATTGTAGCTTATTTATATAGTGATTTGTTTTTGTTGTAAATCTTAATTTTTATTTAATTATTGGTATTTTATTTATTGATCGATTAATATAGATTATATTTTATAGAGGTTCATTTCTATTCATAAACGTCAGAGTATGAACCCTGATTTTAGTTAAGAAATCTAATATATCATCTCATTAAACCAATTGATTGTTAATGTTGTAAATCTTAATTTTATTACGTTAGTTTCATGATTTCTTATATTGTGATGGCATCAATGACTTAAATTAGTAACATTTTGTTGAACCATGTTTTATAATGTTTTGATATAACAAATTAAGACAAAATGTTTTTGGACTTGATTAAATTTGTTTAAAATTTTCAAAAATAATTCAAAGTCCATTAAATTAGAATTTGAGCACAAAACAATTTTTCTGGGTGCGTAGTATCGATACTATTCTTACAGTATTGATACTGCATGAACACTACCGATATTGTTAACATGGTACCGATACCAAATGTAAGAGAAGTATCGATACTACCAGTTGTTTTCTAAATTGCTCAAATTCTAGAATGCAAAATAGGTGACGATACTCAAAGGGGTACCGATACTACTTTACACAGTGATATCGATACCATGAAGCATAGTATTGATACTGGTCAAGCCCAACGGTCTTTAACAGCCAGTTTATTTAAATATTACAAAGGTAGTACTGATACTCGTTTAAAGAGTACGATACTCCTTGTCCTGAGTAGTTTTATTTTACAGAAAATTAATCTCCAACAGCTAGAAACGACCACAAACTCATTCCAACATTTAAAAACAAGTTGAGAACACTTGAAGAAGGTTGAACAACACCTATCTAAGCAATCAAACACAAGAGAAGAGTTTTTCATTCTTATTTTCCTTTCTCTTGTAAATATTAGTGTTTTGAGCTCATTGCAAATCTTTTAATTGTTTTCTTGTGAGCTTAAATCTTGTAAACACCCTTCATTTTGAGATGTTTTCTTGTTTACATCTTTTATTCCTTTTGTAAAGGAGATTGATTATAGCTTAGCCTTTGAAAAGTTAGGGAGTTGTAAATGTTATCTCTTTATTCTGGAAAAAGAAAGAACAAATTAGTGAATTTGTTAGAAAATCCTAAAAGAGAAGTTTAGATAGTGGATGTAAACTTAGTTGAGAAGTCGAACCACTATAAATACTTGTGCAAATTGTTTCAACTTTATACTCCTTACTCCCTAAACTCAAAAATCCAATTCACCCACTCTTAACAAATTATTCGGTTACTTTTTTAGCTTCATTGAAATCCCAACACATTTCAACATGGTGCATCAGCAGCAACAAATAAACTCATTTCATTATGTGCATTACTTTATTTGTTATGAAGGGGATGCATATAGATCTGCTGCCAAACTCGGATTCCATTGTGCTAGAATTTTCTTACAAAATGCCTTTTCTGACTAGTTGAAGGAACTTCAAAAATGCCCACCCCTGTGCTAGAATTTGTTATGAAGTGGATGCACATAGTTTTGCTGACAAATTCGGATACCATTACGCTACAATTTTGTTACAAAAATCTCACCAATAAGGAAAGAATTGCAGCAATAAATGACAAGTTGGTGAAGAACAGGCGTTGATGCGCAGAATTTGGTAAAAATGGGAATGTATCAGATGGAGGGAGGATGCATTCATCACCATTGAAATACACTTTCCTTGGAAATACCCACCCCTGCTTGAAAGTCAAGGTGCTTTTGTTCTTCCTAAGAAGCACCTTTGATTGAACATTCCAAATGGGCCTGTTTCCATTAATAGGTCATTGTAGTACTTCATGCCATAGAACATCCCTGTGTCATCTTCTCATAATCAAAAAGCTGCGATTAAGTATCCGATTATGATTGGATTGTAATGAGAAATGCTAGCGAAATGTTGTCAACTACTTACTGATTGATTCACAAGGAACCAGAGGCTTTGTAATTGAAGCCAATTAAAACCAAATATTATATTTAGTTTAGTGGCTTAGATTTTTCCAAATTCTTCATATGGTCTTGGTTCAATGGCAGTGACGTGCTCAAACCTTCACTTGGATGCAGCTCTCGTCACAATCCATATTTAATGTAATTTTTTTTTTACAATCATACGATGACACATCTTAATATCAAATTGGAGAATTAAATTTATGAAATAAATTTAAATTAAAGCTAAATTGATTGGGTTTGTAAGTAATGAAAACTAAATGTATAATTATACCAATACTTTTAACTGCCACATTCGTTTCTTTATCAAACGTTAACGGTAGGTAGTTTGATTGATAATATTTAAATAGTTAAGTTGTTTTATTGATAAGATTAAAGGATTGATGGTCAAAATAGAATCTGCCCATGGTTAAGTGGTCATGGGTATAGTTTACCCAATAATATTTAACAGATTTTCAACATTTATACCCTTTATTTTCTTCTTGAATTACAACTATGGGTATGTAACATAAGGATTTAGGAATCATAATATCTGGAATAAAATCTTGGGATATCATCTCAAGCTGAAAAGGTGTTAATTTGAGGGCTAGGAAGACCACATCCACAATGAAGACAAGCAAACCAAATGGTGAGGGAAAGTTGACCATTTCCGTAAGAGCCACCTCAATATCCATAATCCATAGCCATTTACGAAAAACACTTGGTGCTGAAGCCGATTCATACAACTGCACCACACAGGCTTTAGTCCCTTGTCATAAGAGCTAATGGGGAGCTCGGTGGGTCACCTCTAAGGATTCTGAAATCTTTAGATGTCTTCTAACAAAGTTCATCGTGTCTTATTCAACTAACAAGAGATCCAAGGTGATCCTATTGTGCCTATCCTAACCCATTACCACCAGTCTTTTATATATTTTCAGGGTTATGTCGTATTAGAGCAAATTAAAATCTTGATTTCAACATCGGTATATCTTACTGCCCGACTACTTCCAGACTAGACCATATTTTTTTCACTTTCCGGTGGCCTCTAATTTACCATATCCAAACTCAGTGGCTGAGCAGTCTATTCATGTTTCGGAAGCAACATGCAGTTGTTAATGCTGCTCTGAGGTTTTAAAAAGATTCAACTTCTTCTGGAATTTTTCATGGAGAAGGGTAATAAAACAGACAGATGGCCCCAACAAGATTACTTTGTTTGATCATGTAGTTATTAGAGGACAGTCTGCAATATTTCATGAAAGAGATGATAAGTACCTCCATGATGTCATGTCACGTTTAACTGTTGAAACTTAGAATACAAGGAACTAGGCAATTTAAAGACTTGAAAATCTGACAAATG